GTAAAGACAGCGATGAGATTACCAAGGGAAACTTCACAAGTCTGCGGCGCAAGTGGATTTGAAGAGGAGGTGAAACAAGCAGTGGGGGGTGTTGTCAGGCCCACAGTGTGACAAAACCAAAACATCCTCCCATTGTCAAAGAAAATTAGTTTTTGAAAAATTAAAGTGAACTCTCCACTTTCTTTTTCCCCAAAATTGCCCCATTTTTGTGGTGAAAACTCCATTTGTAGCTGAATTTGGGATTTCTTGGAAAAAAAACCAAAACCACTAAGTCCTCAAAACTTCAGTGAGACAGAACATCTCAAAAAATGGAACACAAGCAGCTCCAGGACAGAAAGCTGCTGCTCAGACATTGCAGGGATAAGGAGTGAAGGAATCAAAAACCATCCAAACCATCCAACTGGGTAGGCACAGTTACAAAAGAAAATTAAAATCTTGCAGGGTCCTGGCCAGAGGGATTCAAGGGAAATTTCCTCCCAGGTTCCTCACTGAATGAGTTGGCTGAGCAAACTAAAGGGAGCAGGGGAACTAGCCCAGCATGGGGGGCTGAGGACAGTCCAGAGCCAGGGCAAGGGTCTGGGCTGGCTCTGGCAGCCATGGAGAGCTGGTTGCAGATATGGGCAACTGTGGCTTTATTCAGCTGGCCCAGGACATCTGCCTGGGGACGATACCTGCGAACACAGAGCACAGCACCATCCCTAAGCACCACTCCCATGCTAGGAGAAGCGTTGGGGAGAGGGAAATCCATACTTACAAAGAAAAATACTTCAGAGCTGGAGGAGGAGGGTAGCAGGAAAGAAACACTGACCCTTGCTGCAGGTTGCCAGCTCCTCATGTCAGCTGCTCCAGCCCTCTTGCCCGTCTCTGGTGGGATAGGTGGGTTTCATGCTGATGTGGCAGATTAGAGGGTGAACGTGCAAAACCCTGAGAGAACCTTCAGTGAAGAGGAAGTAATGTGCAGGTGAAGGTGCCAAAATCTCTGACCTTGGTCTGGAACCCAGTTTCACCCTGCGGATCAGCAGTAGAAATGTCTTTCACATCACCTCCAGCTCCCAGTCACCTATTCCTGTCTGTCCTCTCCAGACCCAACTTCTTCTCCCAGGTCCTTTCCCTGCTGAGGAGAGGCAAAGCCCATCTCTCTCCTACGCTTTCTGACCTGGGACCTGGTGGAGGCCAACAACTAGAAAGAAAGGGTAAGACCAGGTTCCTCTTGTACTCTTGCCTGTCCATCAGTGAGGCTGCTAATCCCGGCATGCATGCCAGGAGTTCATGACCATTGCTCTAGCACAAATAATGACGAAGAATGCTGACAGGCAAGCACATCCTCCTTGATCATTTCTATCCCCCATCACCATGCTCTTGCTTGAGCTAAGTTAAGGTTTGTGACAGGTACTCATCAATGCAAGCTGCAGAGCAAGAGCATCCCCCCTCCACAGGGATGCCTCTGGCTGCCTGCAGCCCCAGGACACCCCTTGCTGAGCAGCCAGTCCCAGCCCATCCCCTGGAGGCTGCAGAACCACAGGGGAGGCCCAGGAGCCCAGCACGTCTCCTGTGGCATCAGTTCCCATGACCCAGCAGCCCTGTGGAACAATTGCATCAAGCTGCTTCAGTCCCAGATCCCAGGGAAGGGGGCACGTTTTGGGCAGGCAGCTGTGGGAGCTTGTGGGTTTGCAAATCCTTGTATTTATGTAGGAATGGCAAGTCTGCTATACGCGTTTCACACACATGACAGATGAGTTCAAGGGGGTGAGTGAACGACTGCCTGATTTGGTTGCACTGGGTGCACTTGTAAACAAGCAGCTTGTTAAACAATGAGAAACGACAGACAGCATGACCTTTGGTAACCAGAAGCTGGAGGCAAAGCAGAAATTTCTAGCAGCATCTTTTAGAGCAAGCTCAGGACATGCCACAGCTCTGCCTGATCACTAGTGCCAAGTTTCATTGGACAAATAAAATAGTTTGTATCACTTCAAAATACAGAATGACCATTGCTGATTGCTCTCCACTGCTTAGAAACCCAGGTGAACTCCAGGGGTGTCAGAGGGTTGGGCCAGGTCCAGGTCCAGACCCAGAATTACTTCAGAATTTCCTCAGTTTCTGTGTGGTGTTGAATAACCCATTTTCATGTTTTAAATAGCACTTTCTTTTTTTCTTTTTAGTTGGATGCATTACTGCCAGGAAAACACATATGTCTCCTGCATCGTAACCATTATCTCTTGCAGATTTCCATCTCATAGGTATTTTAAAAGCGAGTCTAATTTACAGCACTGGGATTAGGTTCTTTGCCTTCCTCAACAGACTTGCTCTTGCAATTTTCTTTTAAAGCTTGGCTGCAGGTCTTATACAGATCTATGGGTTAGCCCACTTGCTCCAGAAACAGGAGAACCAGTGTCAATGAAGTGCTTCATTTGCAGGGGTATATTTCTAATGGGCACCTTCATAACTTGAATTCTAACATCTTGTTTCATTAAGGGTTGGAATTACCCTTTCAAGCCTTACAGCTAAAGCACAAGTTTCTCACACTGCTGAGAAGCAGATGTGCTATAACTGCTGCTAGGGACCTTGCTGTGATTTTACCAGTGTCTTTGGGAGCCAGGTTGGATTTTCAGAGCTGCCACCCCTCAGAGCCACTCAGCAAATTTGACATGCACCTCTTCAGAGTCAGAGTTACAAGGCAGGTTGCACCACCTTGAATTGGCTTCACAGGAATCAAAAGTACCCACCCCCCCACTCCTTGCAGAAGATACGCGGGAACAGGAATAACCTGAAGTACTTTTGCCACTTCCAGCTTCAATTCATAACAATTCCCTTGTCTGGAGCAAAAGCAAGAGCTGAGCATGTTCAGGGAGCTTTGGTCTTGATCTACAGCCAGTCAGGAAATCTTGTAAATCTGCTCCCACAACTAAAAGCTGCTCCTCTGATTTGTTAGACTAGCCCCCAGCCAACCCATTTCATGGGAATTGACTGCTAATGCATCTGATTGATGTCTTTAAAAGGCTCTAAGCAGCGAGTGACCCTAGGTTATTACAGACAGGCAACTTCTTTCTGTAAATTCTCCTTTAAGAGGGAGATTAAAATATATTCCACCTATTCATTTCTTCTTCAAGTATTCACTCTGCAAGTAAACGTAACTGATTTATAGCAGGAATATCTAGTAGATCTACAGCAACTGTCATTTTTAAGTTCTCCCAGCTGCAATGCAGGAAAGTCAAGTCTCCTGATTCACTACCCTGTGTTACTGCATGAGGTGTGCCTGGCCTTTGGAAAGGGAGGAGGCATGGTCAGGCCCATGGGCTGTTTCTCAAAAAGGGGTGAAAGGATCTCTACTTTCTTCCATGAAAAAGTGCATTTCTCTGAAGGGTGAACCAAGACAGAGAATAGTGCTGCAGGGAACTAATTCATTATTTGTCTGTGTGCCATTTGGTGAAGAAAATGGGAGGAAGGGAGCAGAATTTAAAGACAAGAATAATTTCTTTGTTTCTTCAAAGTGCATGCTCCCTTAAGAACTGCTGTGCTTCTCAAAGGTAAGAGCATCTGTAACTTCATAATCCCCAGATTGTAAAGATTAGATGCAAGTGAGACTGCATCTCCCTCCATTTAAGTAGCTAGCGGCATCAGGACACCAGAGAACAAGCGTATTTTGTTTCCCATCTCATAAGCCAAAAAGAGAGATTTTACAGGAAAATGCATGGTACTGCATGTAATACTCTGTGAAAATTTTCCCAAATCTACACAACACACAGAGCCTGTGCTCTCCTTGACACAAGGGAGGTGTCTAATGATGCTAAAAGAAAAAAAAATCATTAGATAATAAAGAGGGAGATACTTACACTGGTATTTGAAGGAGCACTGCAACAGAGAACCCTGTCATGGAAGGGGTTACCAAAAAAAAAAAAAAAGGGTCACTGAGAAGTCAGTTACTTGTCTGGCTAGGAGCTGGCTTATGAAATAGGAGCAGTAAACCACAAGCTGTGCAGAACTTGAGAGCAACATCTGAAGATACATTGCACTTTTCTCCTAAAAAGCAGCAAACCAGCAGCAGCAGCAGAGCATGGTTTTTCAGGCACATCACAATGCTGTGCTGTGGCTGCGAGGTCCCCTGCAGCATCTGCCAGTTTACAGCCAATTTAAGATGGTCAGAGGCCCCATCCAATTAGGTCTGACTGATAAAATCTAGGGACTGTTATTTGGAAACGTTATTTGGATCCACAGATTGCTTTTAAGAAGAGAAGGAAATTAAAAAGAAAAATTTCTGATGACCACAGTGCCTGGACTGACAAATACTCCAGCTGTATCAGAAAAACAGATCAACAGAGCAAATCTCAGGATATTTTTGGATAAAGGACTGCTCGCATACTGTGCACTACAAGCAAACAGAAATGTGTGCCAACTCACCTGACCTGTGTATATTCTACAAATTGGAAGCTGATAAATTCCACATACCTGCGTCTATCCTCAGCTCTGCTGCCACAGAAAATGCCACTGCACGACACTGATAGCACTGCAAATTATTTACTATTCTCTAGAATCCTTCATGAGCCCCAAGAGTGGTTTCTTCATCAACTTTGCCCATTTTCATTTGGTAAACAGTGGCATTTCCCCTGCTTTACAACTGAAGCTAAAAATAGCCTCCTCCATTTCATAGCTTCCCAAACTTCATCAGAAATGTGTTTTATGCAGCAGCACAAGCACTGGGAACAAACTGGGGTTGCAAATAGCTATGAAGAACCAACAGAGGATCAAAGTAAATTAGGCATCGAAAGAACCATTTCTCCCTCTTCAGCTGGGGACTGGGCTTTGAACAGAACAAAATACCATACATTGGAAACCAACACATCCTCTTTAAAAACACATTTCCACAAAAGCAATTTAAAACACTATGCATGGTTTGGAGGCTTTTCTCCTCATAGTTTATTGAATTAAATTAAACAAAACAAAACACAGACAAACACAAAAAAATGAGATCTGCATTCCTCATGTCTCATCTGTAAGGCAGTCCTTTAGGATGAAGAACAAGGAGCTCCTCCAAGTACAAAGGCCACGAGAGACCACAGTGCCGCAATACCAGAGACTCTAAAGGGCAAGAATAGTAAAATGCTGTTAGGGTACTTATATTTGGGGCTTAATTTTGTTCTTATTAAGCACTGAGATTCTTTTCCAAACCACGTCAGTCCAGAAACTCACCTTTCAATGGGCATCCCTATCACTGCCTCATGAGAGGCATTTTCAATGCACTTTCAATGGGCTTAACTTCCCCTGGTTCATGAAGATCAAGGTTAAAGTCTGGTTGCCCAGGACAGAAAGCTGACAAGCAGCAACCCAGCAGTCAGCAAGTGAACCCTCAGCCCCCTCCAAAAACTCCCATTTTTAATCTTTTTTTTTTTTGTCCTCCTGAAGGGCTGGCAGAGGAACATTGCAAAAGAGCAGCCCGCTGCTGTGACAGTGCCAGGCACCCCGAAAGGAATGCCTGTCCCCCTCCCCATGCCCGTGATGTCCCGAACTCACTGCAGCAGGCAGCTGACGCGTGGAGAGTGCCTCCAGTGGCGATAGATGGAAACCCGCAGGTGAGGGTGGTGCTTATAATCTCGCAGGACAAGCCTCACGCTGTAAGGAAAGCAGATGCCATGAGCCAGAGCCACTGCTTGCAGGCTGCTTACAGCATCTGGACAGGAATCACTTTATTTAAGAGGTATCACAGCAAAGGGAGGATGGGATGAAAACCTGGATAAAAGAGAATCAAAGGACAAAAAAAAAAATTAAGATTTTCCGATCACTTACTGCTTAAATTTATTGGAGAGCAGAATGAACTGGTTTTTGGAAAGCTGTCTGACATCAAAGCGACAAAGAGCTTTAAACTCTTGGTGAATTTGCCTTTCATTCAGCCCCAGCCAGCCTTGGACATGGACAACCAAGATAGGGGGATGCCGGCAGGGAGCATCTTCCCCAGAAAAATCCTGGAAAATGTACAATACTGAGACATGCCTGAGTTTGGAAATACTACAGAAGCACTACTAATATAAATCAGAAAAATATGCAAAATGTGACACAAATAAGACAGGTTGTACAACACAGCTGTTGGTGTAAAACTATTTTTCTTTAGTACCAAGATTCTTCTAAACATGAGTCATAAAAACAAACAGTCACGATTACCATGGAGAAACCACCAAAGAAACAGGCATAAAATAATGCTGTCTTACAGGATAACAACAGAAACACATTTCAAAAAGCAGAAATTCAACTAATTTTCTATTTTGAAAGGTAATTTGTGCGATCACAACTTCTGCCAAGGTCTGCCCAGGCACTGGTGGATTTTTAACCTCGAATGAAGCTATCGATTAGGCTACTGCCCTACGCACCCCCCAGACTGGTCACAGACATGTAATTCATACGCACAATGCTTGAAACGCCACCTCGGATGAAATTCACTTTGTTCAGATACTCATCTAACATGGTGAGATACTGAGAGAAAGCAGGATCGGCCTTCGCTGCATCACTACATCAGAAAACAAAATGGAACAAAGTTTTGTTTCTCCAGCGCTGAACTGCTGCATGTCGTCTCTGCAGCACAGAGCTCCTGAAGAAGCTCTTTAAGTAGAGACAACATAAGTATTTCATATATCTTGATATATGATATATATGATATAGAAGATATATCTTCTACAGAAGTCAAAAAGCTGCAAAGGGAAGGGATTTGAACAGCTGCCTCTTATAAACTTAACTGAAGGCACTGAATCACACAGATTTCAAAAATGGAAACTAATGGAAAATGATTCGACCCTTACCCAAATGACCTGAACTTGGGAGAGCTTGTACAAGGAGTCACAATGCCACTTCCCAACCTCTGAGCCACCACATGGCCCCTAATGTCATTTTTAAAATGTCAGCTTTGACATAAAACTACTACTTTCAGATTTATAAAATCAAAATCTAATTAGAGCAGTGACATTTCCAATAACACTTTCTCTTATCCAAAAGGAAGGCCACCCAGCAAAACAAAAAGTCAGCCAGAGCTAACTGACAACTATTTTCCATAGGACTTGCCCATGTAATGCAATTTTCAGTAAACATCTAAACATCACTCACTCTGTGGATCTGCACAGTAGCAAATGAGCCAACTTCAGAAGAACTAGGAGGAGAAATAACAAGGTGGCATTAGAACAAAGCTAAAGAAACATAACTAAGCAAATGAAAAGGAAAAGCTCATTAAAGTGCAACTAAGTTACTAAGAGCAACAGACTTTACATAAACAAATATTTCTTAGCATCAAGTAGAGCTGCAGAGCAGGAAAGGAATTGCCAAGTCTGAACACAAACTCTGAAGTAGTGTTTTAAGAAGCATTTTACCTCCACCACAGAGAAACGCATCATAGCCTGCCTCATGAGGAGATTTCTTCTCAGCTGTAAGTGTTCAACAACATCCAAAAAGAGTAAACAGAGGAGTTAGCACCAGTGGAAACTGCTCCACTGCAGAATCTCAACCTTCTTAAGATTCACTGCTCTGTTTTGGAGTTTCCCTCTCCAACCCTCATCTCTGTTTCCTTCCTCACCCTGAAATATTTACACCCCATAGACAGTCTATGCTTCTACCATGCACTCTAAAATGATAGCAACAAAAAGGCAGCGGTTACACAAACGGCTGAAAAGCTTAGCGAGATGCACACTTAAAAAATGTTAACTTTTATGATGATCTAAATCAAACTGTGTTGTATATGTTGAAGGTATGGGAATAATTTCAAAACACAGGCGGCCTTACGCTGCCAGGAGAAGCCGGGAAACATCTGTCTCACAGCCAGTATCACACTATGTACTGAACACAACCCCTGCACACACAGCACCACTAACCCTGCATGTGAGCCACTGAGCTCCTGCTACCTTCTGGGACCATTAGCTCCACTATTTTCCATTCTAGGACCACTGTTTCCCACCCCCCCTTGCCCCTTTCAAGGGCTACCAACTCCTCACAGCCCAAAGTCTGGCTCAGTTCAGCCCATCAGCATAACTGCCATTTGTGTTAGCAGCATCATGGAAACCTGCTCTGCAATACCCTCAGCAGCTAGCAGGGACATGCAGAACACATGATGTTTTGGGAGCCCAGCCTTTGGGTCTGGACAAAGACGTATGTCGGCAGCTCTGTGCAAATCCAGCAGGGCCACTGGCACTCACTCATGCTTTGCATGTGGACATCCACAGAGTAAAACAAAACCCTTCTAGCTACCCGATTTTGAAGGTTTGCTTAAGGACATACCATATATTGAGCATTCACTTGCAAGAGCTATCACTGGGCACGTGGCATCTTCAGGATTTAGGCTGCTGCTGAAGACAAGAGGATGTTTAAGATTTTTGTCTTTCCTCAGTACATTAGAGACAAGTTACTGTTCTCCAGTGACCTGTGGCTACATTTCAGAAATCCTACTGAAGACTTTAAAAGGAACTTTGGTAGCATTTTACGAAAAGGCTAAGATACTTAGCTGAATAATATCTACCAGTTTTCTTCCTGAAAGCTAACTCCTAAATATTTCCTCTACCTCTTCTCCCAGCCAAACCTTCTAAGCAGCAAATCTGCTCTAACTGCATACAAAAACATATGAACAGAAGTAAAAACCAATGGAAAATGCCAAGAAAAGGGGTTGACTAGATGGTTCTATTTGAATGGGGAACTCTGGAGGACAGATTAACAAACACATACCCATGGAATGACTGAAATAAAAGAAAGAACAAGCAAGCATAAAAAACTGGTGAGAATCTGCAGTCTGAAATTGCTAAAACAAACAAACAAAAACCAGAATGCCAGTACTGTTTTTATAAGCACAAATTTTGCATCTCCTTCTTGGGAGTAGGGGGTGAGGGAAAAGAGGCAAAATTTTCCTTTTCTTAGCAAAACTGACACAAAACAAGTGTAAGAAAAGATAACTCCTCTACCACATCCTGGATAAGCTCATGAGATACAGTATCTACGCATGTGCTCCATTTCAACATTGTATTTAGTTACTGGTTTGGGCTCAGTGCAGCTCTTTCTTGGAAGCTGACATTTGAAATTAGGGTGTATTTTCACTGAGAACTGAAATTCACTCATTTCGTAACATGACATAGCAAGACACAACTAATGTTGTACATAAGGCTGTCTGCAAGCCAAACTTGTGGCCAATGAAGTAACAGCGGTACAATATGAGAAGTACTTAGAACAAATAACTTACTCCATAATTAACTTTCTAAGAAAGCTAATAGAGCAAATCTTCTGCTCTTAAATTTAGAAAGAGACTAGAAACCAGCTGAAAAACATCTGGGAGGAGGAAAAGCATGAACATACGAAATGACTGACTTTGAAAGATCTTTTCCAAGAAAACAAAGGGATTGCTGAAGGCTTTATAGCCCACCACTTACCTGCACAAAACCTCATACACCTCCAAAAGATTAGATACTCGAGGAAATTTACACTTCTGTAACAGAAGAACATGTAAGAAAACCAAGCAAGACAGACCTCATGGTCAGGGAGCTCATTTACTGGTTCTGCCGATTCACTAAATGAGATCTCAAATGAGAATATCTTGGCAACACTGAGAACTGGTCACAGTTCTGCAACCACAGGGCACTGAGTAAAGATATCCTTTCTTTTTGTTTGGATTAAAGAAGACCTTTGCTTCTCACCTTCCAGACGGATTTTGTTAGTGCCTTGGTATCTATGAGGACAGGAAACAGGTTATGAATGTTCCTTTTAAACTCCTCATAGCTTTCTGAAAGCAAAACACATGGAGAAAAACACCATAAAACTGAGGAAAAGCCAATGTATTTCAAATTCATAAGAAAGAGGGGTGAAGTCAGAAGAATTATGCACCACTCCAGCAGTTAGAGCTCAGAATAGGCAATGAGCACTGCTAATTGCTATGCACCGTGGGTGGCTGGGGTGCCGGAAGACCACTGTGCTTACTGTCCCATCCCCATTGCAAAGGCAGCAGCGATGCACAGCATTACCTGGAAGAGGCTTGTAGAACTTGTCATGAAGATGCATAAGGTCCATAAGCATGTTGTGTCCCACCAGGGGCTATGGGAAGAACATAAACACAACAGCCCATTGGAGTATGTTTTTGAAGAGAGCTCAGAGATAACCAACTTCAACAACTCATGCTCAACAACTGTAATTCTCCCTCTCCAGTGGGCTGCATCCACACACGCTCACCCAGAAGTCACTCAGGCTGCAAGGTTCACAGAGGGACTATAGCTTTCAGGCAATGAGACTTGTGGACTCTCTGAGGAGAGTATTTTTTCACCAGTATTCTATTTTCAGTGGACCTAAGGAGCTAGGTGGATTCTCAGTTCAGCTGAACGCTGGTAAAATCCCACAGCAATCAGATTTATAGGCTCACTCACAAGGGGAGGGACTGCCTTTGCCTGTCTTCTTACCCATAGTCTTCCGAAGCTGAAATTCATTCAATAATCTGCCTACAAAACTTAAGAATTTCCACACATAATGGTCCATATGATCCAATAAACTGGTCTGTCACACGTTGAGAAGCATAACTTGCCCAAAAGGCAAGAATCTGCTCAGCTTTCTTACATGGTGACTCGTGCTGTGTAATACAAGGATTTTCAACATTGTGGACTCCTGCATTTTCTCATGTGACATAAGAAACATATTGCAGAATGGGTTCCGGCTCCTTCTCCCCTGGCTGTACTTGGGTTGCAGGAGTAACAGAAAGTAACACAGGGAAATCTGGTGTGTAGATCCATAATTCTGAGCATGCTTTGGGAGTGGGATCTGGTGCATAAGAAGATGCGATGTTTAATGCTCACTTTTTCTAACCATGACTGCAATCTAAGAATTCATCTCAGCTTCACTGACAACTAAACAGGATCACACTGAATGAGTTGAGCCATTTAATACAAAATAATTACTTTATCTTTTATTATCCGTCTCCATCCAGTGCAGCACATCAAAAAGAGATGAAAGACAATAGTAGGGATGAGGCATTTTACCTTCTTGGCATTAACAAGTGTCTGGAAGAGGTTGGTGAAGCCCCGGGCAGACAGGAGAATTTGCTCCTTCTGGCAGCAGTCATCAGCAGAGTTCTCCAGAAGGTGACGATGCTGTGGACTCACTTTTTTCACTATCACCTGAAAAGAACAGTCACTGGGGATCTCAGCCTCCCATGCCAGTTGTATGCACACTGCTTACTGGGGTTCAGTAATGCTGAGGACAAGTTCAGCTTCCAGGCTATGAAGGATGGAGAAAGAGTTCATCCCCTGGGACCTCAGGATTGTCCCACTTCTCTTCCATGTGGAGATCAGTGCTCCAGTAACAAAAGAGATGCGCTCTAAGGGTGTCTTATTATTGCTTCTCTTGTTAAGGAGAATGGCTCTTACCACATTTTTTCTGAAGCACAAAGGAACATAATTCAATTTAACTTGACACCAAGAGGGTAAGTTCATGGCACCAAAAACCAGAAACAAACAGCAATCACAGGGCCCAAAGGCTATGCTTCAGGTGAGAAGGCTGGGTATCTCTCTCACTCTGTTGACACTGGTGATCAGACCAAAACAGTACTAATTAAAAAAAATAATAATAATAAAAAAAGACTTCTGTAATCTACTTCTAAGCAACTGACTGGTATCCTACTCATACCAAGAAGTCCACAGCCATAGGTTTAACTCAGAAAATATTGCACCAAATGTAAAACAGCAATAGCAAACAGCAAAACAGCAAGCCATATAACAGACAAAGTCTTCAGAGCAGCTACATGACTAAAGTCAGCAAAGGAAAACCACAGAAAAGGCTAAAAACTGTACATTCTTGTGGAGATATTGAAGGAGAAGTCTAACAAAGTCTGCAGAGACAGAGAAGGTCTCTCCAGAAGTTCCCCCGAGACAACCACTTTCAGCTCAAGGTATTTTGTGGCTACAGGACAAACAGAAACCAAAGGCACTCAGTTTTCTGGATCCCTTTTCTTGGGATTCTATTATCAACACTTCCCAGAATATCTGTCACCGCCTTCTCCTCCTCCTCCTGGACCCTAATCATTAAAAGTACAAGCAACATTCCAGAGTCCCTGCAAGCACGGCAGTCCTACCTGTCTAGATAAAAAACCACTTTCAAAAGGTCCACATTTCCATCTCACCTTCTTGTCTCCAAGAGGCTGTGTCCAAACGTTTTGGAGAGCCTGTCTCAGAAGCAGCTGAACTTCAAGCATCTGATAGCCTGAGACAAACAAACAAACAAAACCAACCAAAAAAAAAACAGCAGCAAAAACATCAGAGATGCAGATAAACCTATTTAGGAAAACACATTTTTCTAGACAGAAGGACTGGCCAGATGTTTCTCCCCCAGTGTACAGAAAATACTCATAAATGTATGATTTTGATGCATTACCATACACAACGACAGAAAATTTAAAAAGGGGCAAAATAAATAATAAAAAAAAAAAGGTCAGTGAAAGTTTCAGACAAATGAGCTTTTGTGAGGACAAAGAGGAAAGGAAAAGACTGACTGAAAACAAGAGGGAGGAAGGCTACTACTCTGAAAAAGACTGTATGTGGTTTTGAAAGGTTTCAGAAGCCAAGCACAGATGAGAGGTACCAATGCCCTTTACCCCAGTTTATAAGGAACTAACCCAGTTTGCTTCTGAACAGCATGCAAAAAGGCACATTAATTATTCTTATTGCTTACTTATATAAATGTCTTTCTTATCACAGGTGCTCACTGTTACCAGACCCTATTAAAGTACCAATAAAATATCTACCACAGCTGATGTCGCAGATGCAAAACACAGCACACTTCCCACCCCCTGTATTTCACACTCTGCAAAAAAGCATCAACAGACAAAGCCTTACATACTTTCTGTCCTTCTTAACCTTTGCTGTATTTTATTCCCTGATCTAGAGGATTACAATTTGGTTTTTGTAAACAAACCTATAAGATATTCTCTGCTACAATTCCCTGTCACTCAGCTTCTCCAAAACAGCACAGAAATTCCCTGGCTCTGGTGTAGTTCTCCCAAAAGCTAATGCCAGTAGTTAAGTGGCCTGTTTATCCCCACTGGCATATAATTGTGTCTCCATGGGGCTCCTTGTTGCTCTACATGAGGAAACAAACTCTGAAGAGGACCTGCCTTTTCAAGAGGAAGAAAAACAAACAAAAACCAGGTCACCCAGGATTTAAAACAAGTCAAAACAAGTCTGCTGATTCAGGGCAACTATAAATTCTCCAGTTCCTGCTCCGACAAAGCACAAAATAGAAGCTGGCTACTGCAAAGCATGCCCCAAGCACCTAGACATCCACTTCCACTACAGAAACACCCATCACCCCAACCAAACAGAAAAGCAGAGGCTAGAGGTGAAGGCCACAGACAGGGGCAAAGAGCTGTAAAGGCAGCATGGGCACAGGACTGCTGCAAAGGACAGCAGCAGCCCCCGAGGTTCAGGAGAAGTGATGAAGCCTCTTGGAGCCCGCAGGTGCCAGAGGGAGGCACCCTGTTTCATACCACTCAGATCCTGCAGAATCATAGTCTCCTCTTCCTCTGCCGCAGATATCCAACAGGTCACTTCATCAATAGCTGCCTTCAGCACATCCCTGTCCAGAGCACTACAGCAAGATTGGGGGGAAGGAGGCAGAGTATGAGAAAAAGTTCTTTAGAGATAGAGCCTTGTGCCTTACTGTGGGAATGCAAAACCATCATCTCCCAACATTCACCCAGGTCTCCAGATTGTTTCCTGTGATCTCAGTCTTCTTTCAGACAGACCACAGCATGCTGGAACAGCTGGCAGCGAGGCACTCAGGCCAACAGGCTTTAATATTTCTACAAAATGTGATCTGAGTGAAGGGGAGCTGTCAGTACAGACAAACATTCTCAGTACTCAAGTCTCTGAATACCGCTCACCTGCTCACTTTCCAGCTACCTGCTAAGAGACACTGGGTAAAGATCTTCTCCTGTGCCTTGTTCATGTACGGGATTCCATCTTTCAGGAACTGAGGGAGGGAAAAATGCCAGGTTAGTGACTCTCCCCTGGACTTCCCTGCAGCAAATTAGAGAATAGCGGGTTAGGCAGGTCCAAAACCAGCATATACTTGAAATATGCTGGTGTTCCTCATTGTCACCCTATCCTCTACAAAAATACAAACTGCAGGTAATCCAAGATGCATTCTTATATAAAGGAAGACATGTTTATATATGGAGGAAAGAAAATTATTTTTGTCAACTGTAATCAATTTCTTTTGCTCTGCTTTCATCTTTCCTTTAATGAGATCATAGAAGAATCACAGAATCATTTAGGTTGGAAAAGACCTTTAAAATGATCAAGTCTAACCGTTAACCTAGCACTGCCAAGTCCACCACTAAACCATATGCCTAAGTGCCACATCTACAAGTCTTTTAAATACCTCCAGGGATGGTGACTCTACCACCTCCCTGGGCAGCCTCTTCCAATGCCCGACAGCCCTTTAGGTGAAGAAATTTTTCCTAATATCCAATATAAACCTCCCCTGGTGCAACCTGAGGCCATTTCTTCTTGTCCTGTCACTTGTTACTTGGGAAAAGAGACTGACACTCATCTTGCTATGACCTCCTTTCAGGTAGTTGTAGAAGTTATAAGGTTTCCCCTCAGTCTCCTCCTCTCCAGGCTAAACAACCCCAGTTCCCTCAGCTGCTCTTCATAAGATTTGCTCTTCAGACCCCTCACCAGCTTCGCTGCCCTTCTCTGGACACTCCAGTGCCTCACTGTACTTCTTGCAGTGAGCGGCTCAAAACTGAACACAGTACTCGAGGTGCGGCCTCAGCAGTGCTGAGTACAGGGGCACAATCACTTTGCTACTCCTGCTGGCCACACTATTTCTGATACAAGCCAGGATGCTGCTGGCCTTCTTGGCCACCTGGGCACACTGCTGGCTCATGTTCAGCTCGCTGTTGACCAACATCCCCAGGTTCTTTTCTGCCTGGCAGCTTTCCAGCCACTCATCCCCAAGCCTGTGCAGGACCCAGCACTTGGCCTTCCTGTTCAAAATAGCTAAACAGTGCTCTTATGTGATGACATAGTCTGAATTTTATGGGAAATGTGGCAATTCGTAAGATGCAGGTAAACTGAGACATCCCCACTGTCAAGGCTAGTGAAGACTACCCCTGGGGTCTGTTCAGTAACTGCTCTTCTCAGCTCACCAGAGAGAGGTTTCCTCCTTTCGAGGTGGGGAAATCTGTCCTAGGTTGACAAAGATACAGTTATCACGTCTACAACAGTTCACAAAAAACCAGCACTCACTCTCCCTGCTGATAACATGATGTATTCATATTGTAGCAAGATGCTATTTACTCCAGAAATACAGCATTTAGGATTATTAATCCTAATTTCTCCTGTAATTGCACAGACTACTTCTCTTCTAGATTTCTGGCAGAGAGATTACATACCTTATTATAGTCAAAGCCATAATGAGTCAGGAACTGAATGCTATGTGCAGAGAGGCTGAATTCGGCATCCATAACTCCCAGTGTTGAAGGAAAGAGAAAAAAGTTGTATGCGTGCACCACATACCTACAGTGAAAAGAAAAATCCCTCTAGAAGATAATTACAAGAAATGACATAACTCCTTCTGCATACAGTTTCAACTGCAATGTCTTCATTATAACAAAAAACTGCTTTTTACTTACTTGTTTGAATTTTCATTTGAGAATATCGCCAGTCCTGCAAGAGGGAGAAACCTGCACTGAAACAGCAATGTTGAGCTGGATGTCTACGAATGTGAAAATTAGATGAGGGATGTGGGGATTCCCTGACAGAGTGCATGTTTTCTGTTCACTAATGCCACAGTGCAAATCTTAACAGCAACTGCCAGGCTGCTCCCTGAGAGCTGAACAGGGGGAGCTTTTTATGCTAGGTGGGAAAAGGAGTCAAGTCTGACTAAACAGCAAACAGACTGAGCAATGGGTGAGGTGAACTGCTGCTGAAAATCTCCAATTATGCATACACAGGTCTGTGGGTGCAATGACACTACAAAAGCATTTGTAAGGAGGCACCATGGAAGACCAAAATATGTTTTTTTACTACCTAGGTCCCTGTTTTCCTTATTAATCCCTAAAAAGCACATTAAGGTCTTACATAGCCTATGGCTTTGAAGAATACTTAAAGGAGATTTTGAGCTAATTTTTCAACCTTTAAGTGGTCCTTAACTGTTGATAACCCTCAGGCCTGTGAGCTGGCAAAAGGCCAGTTACCACTGGGACCTTGGGACACTGCTCTCTGTGTCACAGCAGCACTTACCAAGCTGAGCAACCGTGAAGCGCTGAACGCTCTGCCTGGCCTTCAGGTACCGCTCTGCAGGGGAATCAAACAGGCTACGACCAAAACCAGAACTAGGGGAAAGGGAGCGGAAAAAATAAGTTTTGCAGCACACAAGGTGTTTGCTCAGAGCTAGTGCAGCAAGTCTCCCCCACGTTTCAAGTCTAACGGCTTTACCTGGGCTCGTTATTCTGTGAGAAAGTTGAATGCAGGCCAGTAAACTCCATATCAAGGGCTGTTAAGTTGGAAAGAACACCAAAAAAATCAGAAGTCTGCATTCCACTAGCATCAAGACAAGGACTTCTGAAATGCCTCACTTCACCCTCACCTCTGTGAAAACCCATGCTCAAGAGAAAAAGGCCACTGACTGCTGCCAAAGTGGAGCCTCCTGTTCCTTCATCAGGAAAACAAAACATCTCCCCAGGAGGGGCCTGCCTCCCCCTTTGGAGTTTGCCGCCCCCCGCCCCATTACTGACACTCTCAGCCCCCATGGAGGGCTCCTCGCTTCTCACCCGACACCATTTATCTGCTCAAATACACCTCGATGCCCGCCTCGCTACGGCCTCAGCCCTGGCCAGGCAAGGGCC